TTGCATTTTAGGGATTGCGTGCTACATTAAGATCCCCGGACTGCATCCCGGTGAACATCGACAGTTGGTGCGTGGAAGACTACTCCTTCATTATTGCTCCGGCCACTCTGGACCATGCCAATACTTGTGCGTCAACGGTACGTTACCACCCCAACATGGGTTTGTGAAACTGGAACTTGTTCACTCCTGAGGTCGCTTTTTAAAACTGGAGTCGCACCTCTGAGGCATGCATCGCTCTGTTCAGCTTTCTGCAGCTCTCTCCGCTGCCTTCTCTGTGGTTGATCAGGCGGACCTAAAGAAACTCCAGGACGGCTCATAGGTTCTGTGGTATCCATCCAGCAATCCCACCAAAAGCACACTAAGAGAGCACTGCAGGACCAAAAGTTCCAAAACCCATGGAGCTGCTGGACAGGTGGAGAAAGTCCTGAAATTTTTCCACCTGCCCGGACCCCAACACATGTTCCCACCTTCTCAAGTATCCATCTGAGAGACATGGCGGCATACAGCGAGTTGCACATCTCAGTGGTTGCCTCAGTGACCCTGAACTCTCCGCAGGGCAATTAATGTACAGGTATCGAGGTGGAACTCTTCAGCTTGAACCTGTGCCGGTGAAGGTGCCAAAGTCCCATGCTGGATACCTGTCTAGAAGGTAATCACGAGCAGAGGGGTACCAATCCACTTTCATCAGTGCTCAGTGATTACCGGACTCAAATGTCTCCCTCGGAATTGTTCCAGGCCCAGGGCAATGAAGGGGTTGACGCGGTGAACTCTCCAGCGGTGGTGGACCTTAAACAGCCAGTTGTATCTCCCTGCTGTTTTTGATGCCAGCTTTAAACAGCTGATTTCTGAACTTGGCCTCCTGATGTGAATGGCCAGAGAGAAGTACCCTCGTCACCTCCACCTCTGACAGAGACACCCGGAGAGTAGTGTTCTGCCTGGAGTAAGAGAGCCAGGCTGTCGTCCAGCTCCTCTGGATTGGGGACAAACAACCGATCCACCAGAAGACAAACCAGCTCTCCATGCGAGCCTCCGTCCCTGTGCAGACAATACACCTCGCTCCTGCCAGCCTCGCAGACACAGACAGACACTACGCCCAGTTGAAACACTGCTCTTCTGGGTGACTCCCCTCTGGAGTCGAACACCATCCTGTCGGATCACGCTCCCTCTGACAGTACGTCTCTAAACCAAGGAGATGCCATAGGAGATGACCAGGAACGATCCAGTTACCAATGGGTCAGTTTTACTTGAATCGCTTGTGTATATCAAAGTTTTGCTGTGATGGTTATAATGCAATAACATGATCGACTGAGGAACTCACTAATTGCTTTATTGTGTTGTCACGAAATCTTCAACATGCCCTAGCAACCCCTGCACATGAGGTCTGCAAGTATGCCGCATACAATGGACCAGTTAAAACAGGTGGGGTTTTTGTGTTGGGACCACAACACGCTCTGGACCTCACTCAACATGAGAAAAGCATGCAAATCGACATCCGCTTTTGTTAGCAGGAAGTAACCGCTGGGGGAGAAAAGGAACATGTCTGCACAGCCGTGCTGGATCAGGAGTATTGCACGACATTCATAGATATGGCTAGTCGGTCGTGGCCTCAGATACTAAACAAGCTTGCTCGCACCCACAACAAGGGTTGCACATATCCGCTAGCGTGAAGCACCTGGCACAAACTTCTTAACACCAGTTCTTCTTGAACACTAGGCCAGGAATAAACTTCTGCAGACTTCAGCAACTTGTGGGCACTCTTTACCAAGAGGGAGTGAGACAGCTAGTGTTCGCGGGGTTCACCTTGAAGCCAGCTGTTGTTAATGCCAAAGTGCGCCTGCCTCTCTAACACACCTCTGACACAAAATCTCTATTGAAAGAAAAATTGTGGAGACAATCTTTGGAGAGGCAGCACAGCACAAGAGCAGCAGCAACGCACAGCAAGGCAGAGCAGAAGCACAGGCAGCAGCAAGCAGCAGTCGAGCAGCAGCACACAGCAGCAGCCACAGCAGATAAAAAGGCAGACAAAGACCTTGGTCTTGCCTGTGGGAACAGCCAAAGTCTCAGTAAGACTTAATGAACTGTCCTGTGCACTTTTTTTACTGCGAGGGCCTGTGTCGTATTTTCTAGTTGTTCGAAGAAGGTGTACCGCAGACGCTACGCTGCTGATGGACTCTCTAAACCCCAAAATGCCCTTGAGATTTGAAAGCCCAGAATTCTCAGAGAGAGTGGAGGCCACTACAAAACGGGTGAAGAAAAAATGATAAATAGATAGGAAAAGGCCCAGACCTCCAGAAACAGGCCGCCTCTGCAGATTCTGCCGCATGGACCTGAAAACATGGGACCAAACCCGCCCACACAGCATTCATACAGCTTTCCCTGGCGTGGCAGGGAAATACATTTAACTGCCATCTAAGTGTACTCTCTGTACAGAGAGAAAGGCTGGCCAAGTGATGAACTGGAAGGAGTTTCAGGCTTCCTTTCTATGAGGCAGAGAGACAAAGATGGGTGGAGGAAAGAAAAAAATATTGGCATGGTACTATTACAGTGTCGAGTAGAGAAAACTATTGTTCTGTATGTTCATATGTTTCTCTATTATACTGGTAAATTGATTAATGTATAGTTGTAAATATGTAAATTGTACACATCGTTGGAATATTTGTCGATCATATGTACATAGTGTTCTCGTGTTTACATCATTTGTCATTTTCACCAGCCTTGTTAAAAAGTTATATTTGAAAGCTGTCCTTAATATTGCTAACTGATTTTCTTCTCTTTATGATTTATTAGTCCATAGGTTTGTGTGAAACAGTGCCAAACGTCCTCACGCTATTAGACTTTTCTAGCATTTTTCTCGCACTTTTATTAAATGCTAAATATACTTGCTGTCACTCAATAATTTTCCATATTGTAAATATTGAATTGTGCAGTATGTTTTGCTTTAACATAATATATCAGAATAAAATTATTTCTAATGTTCAAAACACTTCTCTAGCAGGTGAGAATCATCATTTGTAAGTTTTCCAGCAGTTGCTTTCTTATATCACATTTTGTTCCTAACTAACATAATTCAACTATCCCTAATTGTGATCATGTGGGGATACTGAAGCGTTCAGAGATTCAATTTGTTTCAATACCCTCTCAAAGAGATAATCATAGATTCTGTGCACTGATAACTGTCTACATGTGTAAAAAAATTGAAGTGGGTTGAGTGCTTTTGGATATTGTCTTTAAAAGTAGCAGGGAGAATTATGAGTTGGTCTCATTTCACGAATAGAAGAAGAATTCTGTGATGATGAAGGAGAATATAAGTTTAGGAAACCCACACAGCTTGTTTTTAGGCAGTCGGTAATTATATCTCTGTTCAGAAGTAGCAGGTTTACATCATCCAAATACCATTTAATATGATAATATAATTTGTAAGTTCTACAAAAACTAATTTTACATTTATAAGAATTAATTTTGAATTCTAAATCCCAACATATTTTCAATGGCTTTCCTAACTCATTTTATCCTCAAACTAGTTGATAGCCTAAATCAGGGATTTTGAACCCTGTCCCTTTGTGGAAATTAAAATAAAAAAATGAAGCAATAAAGCTGTCCTTCCGCCTATTGTGCTGTTTTCTCTGGTTAAAGCTATCTCACACATTTCACTCATGGAACCCACCTGTAAAGGACTTATCTACACAAAGTGTTGCCTGAACAACTTGAATGGCAAAAATGTTTGAAAAAACGAATAAGAAATTAATTGACTCCAACAACTGTCATTTGCCCCTGGCCTCATAATAAGGACTCCACACTTGGAAAACCAAGACCTGGAGGTTTAAGAATCTCTCACCAACAACTCACCCTTTGGGCCCCTTAACACCAGTCAATCAATGTCTGAAAGCAGAAGACCACCTGAATATTGTTGCTGACAATGTGGATACCTTGACTGTGTTTTCTTATTCTTCTTTTGCCCCGTGTTGCTGTTTGTGGCATTGGTACATTACAGTTGTACAATACTTCAATAAAAGCTCATTGTTACAAAACATATTTTGGTACCACACTGTACAATTATCCCAAGAAGTATGCTGCACTGTTGGGGTATCAAACCAGAGAAAATGAAAAAGTCGGCTGTATTGGCCAGGAATCGAACAAAGGCCTCTCGTGTGGCAGGCAAGAATTCTACCAATGAACCACCAATGCGCACATGACCAATTAACATACCACTGTGCGAATGAACACAACAGACTTTCCCACTGCTGCATCTACACAGTGCACATTGTACATGACTTCACACCAGTCCAGAAAAAGCACATGTGCAGCAAAAGGATGCCCCGTGTGAGGCTCGAACTCACGACCTTCAGATTATGAGACTGACGCGCTGCCTACTGCGCCAACGAGGCGAGCAATATGCTTAACCTAGGTGGGTAAAATGGAAAAGATCTCTCAATGTGATAAAGACAAGTGTGTTGCACAGTTGAGGTATCAAACCGGAGAAAATGAAAAAGAGGATTGCATTGGCCGGGAATCGAACCCGGGCCTCCCGCGTGGCAGGCGAGAATTCTACCACTGAACCACCAATGCACACATGACCAGTTAACATACCACTGTGCCAACGAACACCACAAACATCTGAAAACTGGTTGTCCGGACAACTGACCATTACCTCCAGATAAAGTACATTTACCTTTGAGAGGATATCAGTTGGTTTTCTACTTTGATATCTTGACAGCCCCACCCGTCTTCTTTGTCACACAAGTGTGTGCTCTCACACACACACACACACACACACACACATTGTGCTTTTGAACTGTTTTGAGTGAGTGACAATTGTATCGTATCGTATCTCCCGCTTATCCAGATCCGGGTCGTGGGGGCAGCAGCCTCAACAGAGAGGTCCAGACGGCCCTCTCCCCGGCCACTTCCATCAGTTCCTCCGGGAGAATCCTGAGGCGTTCCAAGGCCAGCTGAGAGATATAATCCCTCCAGCGTGTCCTTGGTCGACCTCGAGGTCTCCTCCCAGTGGNCCGGGAATCGAACCCGGGCCTCCCGCGTGGCAGGCGAGAATTCTACCACTGAACCACCAATGCACACATGACCAGTTAACATACCACTGTGCCAACGAACACCACAAACATCTGAAAACTGGTTGTCCGGACAACTGACCATTACCTCCAGATAAAGTACATTTACCTTTGAGAGGATATCAGTTGGTTTTCTACTTTGATATCTTGACAGCCCCACCCGTCTTCTTTGTCACACAAGTGTGTGCTCTCACACACACACACACACACACACACACATTGTGCTTTTGAACTGTTTTGAGTGAGTGACAATTGTATCGTATCGTATCTCCCGCTTATCCAGATCCGGGTCGTGGGGGCAGCAGCCTCAACAGAGAGGTCCAGACGGCCCTCTCCCCGGCCACTTCCATCAGTTCCTCCGGGAGAATCCTGAGGCGTTCCAAGGCCAGCTGAGAGATATAATCCCTCCAGCGTGTCCTTGGTCGACCTCGAGGTCTCCTCCCAGTGGGACATGCCTGAAACACCTCCCTGGGGAGGCGTCCAGGAGGCATCCTCACCAGATGCCCGAACCACCTCAGCTGGCTCCTCTCGACATGGAGGAGCAGCGGCTCTACTCCGAGTCCCTCCCGGATGACCGAGCTCCTCACCCTATCTCTAAGGCTGA